GGCAGAGGTCTCAACACGAGTTTCGCTACCTATGGCAAGTTGATGAACAAATGTAAATGATTTACTCCTCCATTGAAACAATTAAGATCATTTAGGAGTCAGGCTACTTTGACACCGGCACATGACTTTTGATTCGAGAATCTATATCTCACTGAAAGTGATATTTTAATTTCTGATAGTGACGTCAAATATTTTCACAAAAATAAATGCTGGAGAAAGCTCATCTGTTCCACACACTACCATGAGTCACTTGAGCACTTTGCCTTCATCATTATATTATTCAGAGTAACACAGCATGCACGTGATGGAGATTGCCAATAGCAAACAAAGCCATGTCAGTCTATGCCGGCATGCAATACTGTCACAACCAATAGACAAAGTACTCTTATATAATAACAGTTGTAAATGTTTTTCGCACCCATCAACACAATCCACATCGCTTCAGGGGAAGGCTGCAATGACCCTGCCTGTCAGGGCAAACCCGGGCTGAGAGGGAGAAAAATGAAGATACTCAATCTTTAAAAAAAACCTAACCACACATGGGAATCGAACTCACGCCTTCTGCATGTTATGGTGAAACATCCAACAGCTACACCACAAGTGCCAGAAAGTGTTCTCTTAAGAGGCTAACTGGGGTTTAAATGGAAAAAAAACCCCAGTAATACCTAACAAAGTTGTATTTTGTTGCAAACTAGAAAAGTTGTTTAAAGCTATAACTTCAGTTCAAATAGTCTGTGTTTTACAAATTGTGTGTATTCATCGAGTACAGAGATAACAGCAAACTAAGATACAAAAATGCTAATTTTTTCACAGAAATAGAATCTTAAAAACAAAATTATTCAACCCAGGTCCACATACACAACTAGATGCTAGTATATATATGTGTCACGACAGTGGAATCAGGCGCTCGTCAATCTTTCGGCAAATGGAGTTATTGGCAAAATCTTAAAAACTAGTTTATTCTTCTTGCTTCCCAAGACAAAATACTCATCTTTCTAAAATAGAAGTCAAGATATTTAAGATTGAAGGAGGTGGGGTTCACCTGGTGTCAGAGGAAAAATTAGCAACAAAATAGCTACTAAACTTTTGGCGACTTCAAAACCTTGAGTGTCCTCGTCAACCATAAATCTACATTTTTTGTGCCTTTGATCAACACTTCATTTTTATGTAAAATCCACACAGAAATGTGCTTTTGAATGGACATAAAAGGCATAGACTAAAACAAAACAAAATAATAAAAATTGCCCATATAGCGGAAAAATGTTGGATTCTTCAATTGAATTAAATAATATTATTTTGCCTGCCGCCTGATTTCACCACAATGCCACACACTCTATTCACTCTTCTTTTAGTTGTCGTGAATGTACATCTTAGTAAGTGGAACTGTGACCCCGAGTAGTGTTGGTGAAGGCATACACCATGACGAGCCCAGATTTTTGTCGTCATGTAAAAGACAACAGCTGACAGGGCTCACAAGCAAAGTTTCACACGATACAGCAAACAACGCTTTCAAGCATCAGCAAAAACATACTCACTGTCAATAATATTGTATAATACATCACATTAGTGCAAAAGCAACAAGATTCAATTACAATCTAATGTTTTGTAACACCATTATGATAGATCATATCTGTTATTATGTTATAATAACCATTATGATAAATCATATTTGTTATTAGGTTATAATAACCATTACATCATAATGTATATCACATTACATCACAAAAAAGAGCTATTGAAATACAATATTCATTTTCTGTAATTTTTTCACTTTCAAAATACAACCAGGCAGAGCATAGCTGGACACACTGCACCAGCTCACAGTCATAGTAATACAAAGTTTCCGGCATCCATAAGAAGTTATTCGCTCTTAGAAAGTTCAAGTATCAAAGTACATTTTACTTCATTCTCTTTTTTCAGCACAACGTACAACAAACAGAAACATGATCAATCTTCTTTAAACAATAACTATATAGTGGTATCATCAATAAATTTCTCAATACTTAAATCATAAGGTCCTCCTTTTTGGGAACACGATTAAACAATGTTTTAACAATTAATCTTTGTCAATAGCCCTGAAAAACTTAACCCTTTGAGCTCTGACCTCCTGAGGTTATTGTGCCCCTCTGTCTGAGCTCCTGAGCAATATATTACTTACATTCGTATAATCGTCAGAATCACGTTCCATATTCCACTCAATGTAGTCATTGTCATTCATCATCATCCAGTGCCAGATCTGCAACAGACATAGGCGATCATGGTTCTTCACTCATTCCTTTGCTCGGATGCTCTCAAAAAAGCTACGTTTCCCTGATCTTTCCCTGTTACCCATTTGTTTAGGTTCCCTAAGTATGTTGTTCTGGGCCTACCCCTTCCTCGTTTGCCCTCAATTTTGCCACTGAGAGCTAGATGATCAAGACCCTTATGTCTATTCAGGTGTCCCAAAAACTGCATTTGTCGTTTTCCTGATTGTTTTTAACATTGAGCGTCCCACGAGGGTTTCATCAAGCACTACCTCATTGATTTCTTTTTCTTCCTCGATACTCTTAGCAGTCTCCTAAGAAACCACATTTCTGTTGCTTCTATTTTCTGTTCACTGTCTTTAGTGATTGTCCAGCATTCGCAGCCATATAGAAGGGTTGACACAAAACAGAGCATTTCAGAACTTTCATTTTGGTGTTCATTGAGACATTGTCATTACCAGCATCTAATTCAGAAAGATCTTCAAACTAATCTGTAACACCTTGTGTAGTAAACACTGATGATTCCCCCCCCCCCCCACAATCCACCCCAGTGCAGTGCTACTGACTGAAGCGTCTTTAGGCCATACTAAAGAGGGGGGATATTAACATGTTCTTATGCACAGTAGAATTGTAAATGGGCTGATTTATCAATATCATGCTCATACTGTGCCGGAACAACATAGGGGGAACTGATGCTTTTTCGTTCCCCATCCTTACTATTGTAATTTTTCCCTTACTTCTTTTGTATGTTTGTCACTCTCTTGTGAACAGCTAATTCCGGGGTGCCTTGATATTCGAAGTAGACATTGTGCTGTTGAGGCTAGAGAGGTGAGCAGAGTAAACCTTATTCCCCTTTGGACTTCTTTGTTGATATTCACCTCTTGGCGCTCATATGACCTTATGCAGTTGCGAGCGGCGTTAAACCTTACTAAAAAAAAGCAACAACAAAAAAAGTTTTCCATACGTGTTTTACCTCAGACAGGCCTGGTTGGGGATGGGGTCTCGCTCACCGCTGCACCGGTGGCAAGGAATACGGGCAGTATTGTGCACCACCGGAGTACCGCGATGTACCGGTGGCTAGGAATACGGGCAGTTTTATGCACCACCGGAGTACCGCGATGTACCGGTGGCTAGGAATACGGGCAGTAATATGCACCACCGGAGTACCGCGATGTACCGGTGGCTAGGAATACGGGCAGTAATATGCACCACCGGAGTACCGCGATGTACCGGTGGCTAGGAATACGGGCAGTATTATGCACCACCGGAGTACCGCGATGTACCGGTGGCTAGGAATACGGGCAGTATTGTGCACCACCGGAGTACCGCGATGTACCGGTGGCTAGGAATACGGGCAGTATTGTGCACCACCGGAGTACCGCGATGTACCGGTGGCTAGGAATACGGGCAGTATTGTGCACCACCGGAGTACCGCAATGTACCGGTGGCTAGGAATACGGGCAGTATTGTGCACCACCGGAGTACCGCGATGTACCGGTGGCTAGGGCTCAAAGGGCTGAACGATAAAATCCTGTCACAACACTTGAGTAGAGTAAAATAATCCTCTCATTCTACGCTCAGAGACACCGAGGTCATCTGAAAATCTGAAAATAATCCATGAACAGCTACAGAAACACTGGTCAAATAGACAATGATGTAACGGGAATGATACAGGGGGGAAAAAAAGTAATTGTAGACCTTTTACACCCGCATCGACACAATTTAGGTTATTTATCAGGCAAGCTTCTTTAACTCTGCCTGTTAGGGCTAACTTAAGGATACAATGCCCTAGCAGACTGATGGAGATGGTAGATTAAAAAAAACCCCCACCCAACATAGGAATTGAATTCAGATCTGTGTGTTACAGCAAAGTACTTAACCACCACGCCTTCATAAACATTTCTTCAATCTCTATGATTAAAAAACCCACAAAAGTTGTCGCAGAACAAAAAAGCTCCCACAAAATATCAATATTCCAAAACATAACATAAGCTGGCTGACTGCACAACAGAATTAAAGAGAACATCAAGAACATGGTCTCAGCTGCTGTGAGGTTTGATGTTCTCAATTTACAGATACAAAAAAACAGATTGATGAGAAAATATTTGAAAGTTCATTGAAAAACATTCCTGCACTTGAGCCACATTGTACGGAATTCTAAAATCTTGTTCATACGTCAAACAAAAATTCAACATATCCGGATATGCAAATACAAACATAAATCTGGATTATTGTTGGTACTTTTAATGAATGAGAGATTAGGAAAACCAAACAAAATTTATTTGATACAGTTAAGTCACAAACACACACAAACACACACACACACACACTTCACAGAAAAACAGGAGTGACCAACCTGGTCATGTTTAAATCAAACTGTGCCAGCTTTCTAAAGGACAAATCCCTAACCTTCACCACTAATTTTAGGAAGTTTTGGATATCAACATATGATGCTTCCACAACTTGATGTGCATTACATATCAGCTTGATCTTTTGAGAGGTACTCTAAAGAACTTTTCCACCAAAAAATAATCAAAACATCAGACATGAAACATGATGACAGGCATATCGACGATACATCCTAGATTGGCATGAAACGAGTTAAGGAAGCTAGAGTATTGACCGTGCCCTATCTTTGAGTGGTTATGAAGTTATCATAATCCCAAAAAAAATATAAACAGACTACAGTCCAACATTACAGAAAGACTAAATAATTGCCTAGTAAGATTAGTTTCTTTAATAAGATGAACGTTTTTGTTTTTTCTGTAATGAAACCATGGACATTCTCAACCTAAATCAAGACAAAACATTTGGCTTCAGTTTTATTGGCCCAGCTTCATTGCAAGTCTGATTGCTAAAAATAAAAACTAGGGTGATGATCTGCACACACTCTTTGACCTGCACATGCAGACAAGACAGACAGTGTGTTCAATAACACTGTCTTTGTTGATTGTGAGTCAGAGTTCACAACACATGTATCTCTCTATGTAAGGTGGGTAATTTAAAAACTAGCTCTAATCCCAAGACTAGAATATAAATGCTTTTCTAAAAAAAACCCACCAAAAAACTCAATGCTTAGAGCTTATGACTGAAATATTAAACCTTCAAACTCAAATATATTATTGCACTCCATTTAAACTCTCATGCATCCAATTAGTTTTTCAATAGGCGCTGGATAAACAGTAACAACAACAACACAATAACATCAACAACAATTTTACGAAGCTCCCCAACTTCTCAGAATGCACACACTGACATGATGCTCTGATTGCACAGAGCAAAAGAATAGAGCAGCTTGTCAAATAAAACAAAATGTCTAGCAATACCATCAGACCGAACAAAATATAAACACCGATGACATCATCAAACATAACAATATTTTCAAACATTGGTGTGATATCATCAAATATAACTTAATGAATACAGCAAAAATAATCCAACTGATGATCCCAGTTGAATGATGCACACAATCCTTCAAGCTGTACAGTCAGCACGATCTGTTTGTGTCCTTTCTCAAAACGACTTGGAACCATTTTTTCCCCTCACATCATCCATCCATGCAATTCGTCAAAAAGACATACACAGGTCATGTACAATGTAAGTAGGTGACCAGGATAAGGGGTCCATTCATTCTCCTGACATTAGGTTCTACAAGTTGGCACATCTACTGGACTGACTAGACACTGCATTTTTGTTTGATTTTTTTTCTCTCTTCCTGTTTTCCTCATTTTTCATAGATATTCAGCTTGCCTGCACTCTAACTGTATCCACATTAAATCCTCATTCTTTTTGAACACTTAGGTGGTTAAAATAAGCTTGCTTGAAATCTGTCTTTATACAATGGAAAATGCTAACGTGTTTGCGTATTTTCATCGAAATTTGCAACAAGGAAATAACGGGAAACAAGCCAAGAACTTTACAGGTTTAAGAAACATCTTCATCAAAGTTAAATAGTCACCAAATGTCCATCCAATGATATTTCAGTTCCAGGTCTCCATCTCTTTGAAAAGCATGGAATTCATTAAAATATTATATAAATATATATATATAGGGT